AGGCAGGTTTCACTTCCTGGCTGGGTTTTGGGATGCGGGCATCCTTCAAATCAGCTGGTATCTTGGGTGTCGTTGGACTGGCCTTTGATGGACCCTGCACTTCACGGAAGTTTCTGCTGTAAGTGATTGATACTGTGGGTGGCCGAAATCCGTTTCGCACCACCTGAGAAACCCTGGAATGATGATTCCCCCTGCAAATGCCAACAAGCAATATGATGGTTTCCCATGGTTTCACAGCGGCGCAGGGTTTTGTCCATCAACAATATCCCGAATTAAGAAGATTGAGCCTACGCTGCATACTCACAGAACGGGCTGAAGTCAGGGGAGGTCAACCACTTGCGAAGTGGTTTGGTCATCCAAGAGCCATGGAGTCAGAAATCTCTTGGAATATCGGAGAAAGCAAGCGCGCTATGGCAGGGCTGAGAGTTGTTTATGTTTAGACCATCAAATCGTGGATCACTGAGGTTCACGCTGGGCTGCAGTTGGCATGACATTGGGCACACACGCCAAAATAGAAGTAGGAAAGGGGGGTTTACTGGCCAGTGTCCATGTCAATTGGAACACTCTAAATGCTGATAGGAGTTCATCTTGATGTGATGTTTCGGTATGTGGCCATGGGTCAAAGGCCCGTACCCCCAGTGAAAATCCCAATCCCCACTAAAATAGACTAAAATGGGTGATGCACCTACCCCAAAATGGTACCATTGGTTTTGACCCACAGCCATGTCTGAAAAGGGGGACCCCTACACAGGCTGCATGCCTTTGGGTAGCGCTGCAAACAGCGGGAAGTAGATTGGGGACAGTGCCACCTGATGGCTTGCGGGTGAAGGGGATGGCTAGGACGCCTTCGGCACGGATGGTAGACGAGAGATTTGATCACGCTTGAACACTTGTTTGGATTTGGATCATGCCCCAAAAGAGGGTGTTTGGAGGGGGTAAAACCTATATCCTACCAACAATCCGTCCGCAAAAAACCCGTGGAGGGGTGGGGGTGATTCGCGTCAGGACCACACGCCTTTGGAGGAGGAGAACCGCGCGCCTGCGGGGCCACCCAGTGACAAGTGGGATCGACCACTCCAAGTGTCCTTTGGGGTAAAAACCGGAACCCGGGTTTGTCACGGTACCCTTCCACCAACCGACTGTTTTCATTTGTTTGTTTAATTGAACTCGATCTTTTGACTGGGGCGATTGCAAACCCTTTGAATGGTCACTGTTGGAAGCCCTTTGGAAAGGGGATAATGTGCACCAAGTGTCAGCACTGTCTTAAACCTCATCATGCCTTGGCAACCATTGAGAGTGGACTCGCTCTTGCTTGTACAGGGCTGCAGGGCATTGGAAATGTTGAGGAAGCCAAAGTGCATTTTGCCCACACCCTTACTTGCATCACACCTGGCAAGAGGCAGTGTGTGCAGTGTGAAGGGGTCAAGTTTGGCAGGGGCAAGGTCAGCCAGAAATTGGCTAAACCATGCAGGCCAAGAAAGGTATAGAGGACTATGCCATGTCTTGTGTGTCAAAAAAATTGAACTCGATCCCTTTAAATTCCAACCAGCCAGTGAAAATGACAAATATTGCCCTCCCCCCAATGAACCGAGAACCTGACTGGGGCCCGGCCTTTAAAAGGAACATGGTCTTCCAAGGACCCGAACGTCGGGTTCCAGGTTCATTGGGAGAAGCCCTCCCAGCCCTCCCCAAGTTCCTGGAGCTGGTTGGGACATCAGTTGAGCTTTTGGCACTCAGCGGCTTCCTTTGGAAGCTATCCACTTCCGTCGCTGGTCTTGGGCTGGGTTGGAGGAATCTGAGATGGGTCGATTTGTTTCGCATCCCCCAAGCACATGCCTTGCTGGTGCGATAGGTAAGGAACGAGGGAATGAACCTGGGGGTTCCCTGAAAGGAAACCATAATGGTGTGGCTCAAAATTTTAGAGCTAGGGTTACGCAGGTTTTAGTCTTCGGTTCCATTTACCGAGGTGCCATTGTTTTGCTCGGGGTCATGAGCCATTTCTCGTTCCCTGCATCTCTCGCACCCGCAAGATGTCCGGCAGAGTTACAAGGTGCCCACAGCCACCGCTGATGCACCGAGGTGGGCCAACCGCTGATGCACCGCTCGGCGCTGCCGCAGTGCACTGGAGAGGCAAGCGCCTAGGTCCCCCAGTAGTGCCCTTTCTCACAACTTTTTGGGGGGTGGGTTCCCCAACTAAAATAGACTACAGAAAAAAATGGGTACCCTTATTCTAACCTCTCTGCTGGAGGAGGTTTTCTCCAACATGTTCTGCCTCAGAATGCGCAACTGGACGATCGCTCGTCCTTTCACGTCGAAAACAGCCACGGATTGACGGTGACGCACTCCCTGAGTTCCTGAAGTTCAGTCACTTTTTGGGAAGACAGTTTTAGTGGAAAACAAACGATTTGGTTTTTGTTTGGCCAATCCACTCGGGAGGCGAGGTGAGAGCGTTCCGGGCTTTTCTTCGCTGGTTGGCAGGCCAAATATACGGATGACATGCCCAAGCTGCCCGGCACTCTGCACGGCGCGGGGAAGCCAAGATTTTGTATCCCCACCAGGCGGTTGTAGCTCGCTCTTTGCATGATTTTTAGTTGGGAAACATTGCACATTTTGTCTTATTTCGTGGTTTAGTGAGGTTGAACTCCAACCACTCAACTGTTTTTTGTTTTTATTAAACAAGTATGCTCCCCTTCCGACGTCAACCAAGTTTTTCAGCTGACTAGGGGGTTGGGAATCTCTTTGCCCCTGAAAGCGAAAGGCGTTCTAACTTCCAAGTATTGATTTTTTTGGGTCTGGACAAAAAACATAGGACTTGCATGCTGCTGTTGGGTGTTTGGTGTTTGTTGTTCCTTTTTTCGCCGTGGCCAGTGGGGCGGGGGAGGGGGGGGGGGGAAGAATTACGCTTGCTTTAGCGACACGGTCACAGGGCTGTAGAGGGCGAGGGATTGGATCGATTGTGTCAAAATGCCTCTTCTCAGCCTGTTTTGAGGGCGCCAATCATTTTCAGAGTGTTCATATCCGATTCGAGTATGAAACGAAGCAACATGTGGGTGTGGCTCAAAATAAAAAAAAAAAGCTAGGGCTACGCGGGTTTCGTCCTTGGTTCCATTTACCAAGGTGGCCATTTGGATACCGGTTTTTTGAGCCACATCGACCCAATTGCAGACCGCCATGGTTGGGCAAATCGGCTTGAATTCACGCTGCAAGGCAAGCTGACCAAATTCCCCCCCCCCCCCCCCTCCCCCCGCAGAGATGCTGCTGCAGTTTGTTGGCATTTTGTTTTTGAGCTGCGTGCTTTATGATTTTGCATATAAAAAAGGATTTCGATGCTGACAATGCCTTTGGCATGAGGCAAGTAGGTTGTAACCTTCCATTTGGTTATAACTTCCCCATTCTTTCCAGGGAACCTTGTTTCTAGAAAACCACCCAAAACCCTGGGGAAATTGCTGGTTTTTGAATAGAACGATGGCTGAAAAGGATGGGGAATCAACCCCTAGAATGCTCTGATTCTTTCACAGGGCCATTCATTTGGCTCCTTCTGGTGCATATCAAAGTTTCAATCCGGGCGTGTGTCCCTTCCATCCACTTAGGATGTGAGTTTGAGAATTGTGCAGGCCAGTTCCACGATGCCCCTTCATTAGTTTGGGATCAGGCCAGTTTCAGAGGTTTTGTCACAGAGAGGCTAAAACTTCGAGGATCTCTGTTGTGCTGCCAATCATTTATTCCTCACCTTTTCATGCTGGAGATTCTTCATGTGACAGCTGCCAATGGACAAGTCATCCAGAAATAAACATGTTGAGGATCTCTGGACCCAGCCCGCGAGAGCTCGGCAAGGTCTTCGTGCTGAGCGAGCGCCCGCACGCCAAGATCTTGCCCGGGCACCTCAGGCTTTGACACCTGAAAATCGGTTACGTGTAGAAACCGTTTGGAACGGCTGGCCTTTGGGTGGTTTGGACAAATTTTGCCAATTTTTGCAAGCAAGCAAAGGCACCCTTGGGCCCTTGGTTGAAGATTGATAGGTTCCACTGGTTTCAGCTTGGTTGTAAGGTAGTGCAATTGATTTGCTCAGAAAGGACACTGCGCGTTGAGCTCTGTCCATTTTTCTTTTTTTCGAGGACTGTTGCCACCACTGTTGACATGAAGGACTAGGCTACTTTTAAGACATGGTGAGAGAGTGAGATTTTGACCAATCTTTGACCCTATGTGATCCGGCGGGTCAGTTTGTCGACGCCAGCAACTGTTGCTGCCTTGTGAGCTTTGAGCAGAGAAACCGGGTTGGCCATCCCAACTATCATCAGACCTTGTGTAAGAGGGACAACAGGACACCGAAACCAATGAGGGAAAGATAGAGTCACGGAGTCATAGAGTTGCGGTTGGCTCAACAAAATCGACACGGAAAGTCCTGAGATGCCAGTTTAAGCTCTTCAGCCCAAACTGTTCCCTACTTCAAAAATAGTCGTAGCGCTTGACAGTAATCCCTTTCTGAAGATTCCAACGTCGAAGGTAACGACAGTCTTCAAGACTTTCCGATCCCAGCACTACCAGCGGAACCGTTCACAGGAATCGCCACCCACAAGTCACATATGGCTGTGGGTCAACACCAATGGGATACCATTTTGGGGTAGGCGCACCACCCATTTTAGAACCTATTTTAGTGGTTGGATTGGGATGTTCACTGGGGGGTACGATTTGGGTTTTGAGCCATGGCCATATGGTTGATTGCTCCAGTGATTCAATGGGACCCATTCAACCGGTTCCCGCTTCGTTGGCTTTTTGACAGATCTCCTCAAGACCGCGGTTCTGTGGCTCCAGACCAAAGAATCCATGCGTCCTGTTCAACACCATCGGGCCCTGAGTTTTTGTTTTCTTCAGAATGCTCACATTTGCAAGTCAAGGAAAGGACACTGGAAGAGAAGGTGTCTTGAGTTTTTCCTAGCAGATTCTGCTGGACACGCATTCCCAGAAGTTGCTTCATGATCGGCCGAAGAAGCCTTGATTCAAGAGAAAACAGCCCAGCTGACTTTGCTCGCAGCCATGGAGCCAGCGCTGAAGACCAGTGGCAAGGCATGTAGCATGCCCAAAGAAGAGTCAAGCTGCACTGGCCATGCCGAATATGCCTGGTGTTTGATTCCATTGTAAACTCATGTCAACTCTCAGCTCGGTGTAGTCTTCTGCGTCTAGCCGGGGCCGGAGCTTCCAGTACTTTGTGAGCCCTAAACGTGGACTTCGGTCAAGAGCATTGAGATCCTGTCAAGTCTCATCGAGCCCATGTCTCGTTATGAGTACAACAAAGGCTTGAACATGTTCGCTCACCCCAGGCAATGATCGCGTGTTTCATTCACAGGGTTGATTCTCCGGCACGGCAGTGCTACTCCAAACACGGGAGTTGTTTGCATCAATCATTAGCTTGATTTGAGCCATTGGCGGGCCTCGAGGTCAAACACTGGCCAAGTCTAAGCTAAGCCGTTTGTTCACTTTTAGATGCCCCTCTTGCCGAAGTCGTGCCTGATGTTGGCCTTCGGATGCCCGCATACAGGTGTACTTGATGGTCGTTGTTTACTGCAAAGTCCGACCAGCACGTGTTTGCGATTGCGTGGCAGCTAGGCGCCGTGTCGTTTAATGATCACGGGCAGGTGTTGGGACTGCCTCAATCCCCATCAAGATGGGGGGTTTGTTTCGTGGTGCCTTTTTTTTTGGGGGGGGGAGGCTTCCCTTAAACCTCAACCAACCAAAAAAGGGGATCTCCTTTTTTCCATCCTCCACTCGGCATTTGATGGGTGGTTTGCCTGTCGCTTGCTCTTCTTTTTTTTTCCGGAAGGAGTCCCGAGCCTCAAGTCAGCCTCACAGCCGAAGCCGGCGGCCGCCGCGCCGCAGGCCACGCGTTGCTTCGAGCCCAGCGACAGCTTCCGGGGCGCGAGGGCTGGCTGGGCCTTCAAGCTGGGCGACCGAGGCCGACCTCGCCTCGGGGAGGGGAGTCCTCAGACCTTGTGGGCAACATGGCATACCCGGCGTTCTTTTAGGGGTATGCCAACCTTGCCCCAAGGCATGTGAAGAACTCGGACAGTTTTTAGACCTGTTGGCAAAATATGTGGCCTACCTAAATGTGGTCCCGGTTTCCTGTTGAAGGTAGGTGTTACAAGGACCCGGTCAAAAGCGGGGCGTTGTGAAGAAATCCAGACACGCCCTGCAGTGAATTGGTGTTTGCTAACCCAAAAATTGCAAGAAAGAAAGAAAAGAAAAGAAAGAAAGAAAGAAAGAAAGAAAGAAAGAAAGAAAGAGGGCATCGAGCCTATTTTGAGGCCCCTTTAAAGTGCCCTTTGACGATTGAACAGGTTGCAGACAATCCCAACCCATCTGCAGTCTTCCCGTTCTTGCGGGACGACCCTTGTTGCAGGTCTCGGGTACTACCTTGACAACTGCGAGGAGAAGCTGGAGCCGGGTGTCGAAGAAAAAAGCACACACACACACAATGGGGACGAAATGTCCCTAAGTTCCTACCTGGAGTCTCCATGACCCTTAGAAAATCGGGTCATTACCCAAAACTAAGGGGTCATGGACCCATTTTTTTAAGGGTCATGGAGACTCTAGGTACGCTGTTTTTGCTTTTTGGGAACTCCAGAGTAGTGACAAACAGAAGCTTTAGCTCACTTCATGGACCTTAGACTTTCTGGGAAGACCATTTTAGTGGTATCATGTGTGCCCTGAGGGTCCCCATTGACTTTGGGGGGTTTCGGAATTCTTGTATTGCAGATCGTGTGCTATGTGCCAATGTGTTTGCTTTTGATTGGAACAGTTCTATGTACATTGCGACCACTGCGTTCAGGCACTTTACACTTTTCGGGCAACCTATGTTAGTGGCAGACAACAAGTTTGGACTGTTGTTGGCCAATCCACTCAAGTGAGTCACTCCTGAATCACTCAGTGATGGGCGGTGCTTGTTGTGGTTTTCAGGTTCAAAGCCAAGGAATCGCAACATCCAAAGCATCCCATCTGACCGGTTTATTTGTTTGTTGCTCCAACCCGGAACCTCGAAACCTGTTGCTTGACCTGCATTTTGCGCCCTTTTTGGGCGTTGGCCCCCTGAAAAACCGGTCGAAAAAGAAAAAAGGAGATTACACGAGGTCCATCTTCCAAAGCACGAAGCTGGACACCGCGCTCCTTTTCGAGATGGCGCCCTGATCCAACCAAATGGGAGGGAGAGAGGAAGGGAGGGGAGAGGGAGGGGAGAGGGAGGGGAGAGGGAGGGGAGAGGGAGGGGAGGAGGACACGCGGGAAGGGGAGAGGGGAGGAGAGGGGAAGAGAGGGGCTTCTCTGCATGGATCCGACATGCCCTCAGTCCAAATGCAGCAGGAAGCCAGCCCCTGCGTAGGGGTGCTCTGGTTTTTGACACACACCCATGTGAGGTTCAGTGAAGATTTCTCGCCAGGGTGAATTGGGGGAAACAACCATGTCTGGGAGGCATGCAGGTGCTGGTACAGGCGCTGTTTGGGGTGCTGTTTGCAATTGCATGGCGCTGTTTGAGTTGCTGGTCGTTGCGCTCGGATTTTGGCCAGACTTCCATTTGGTTAAGAATATATTTGTTTCCCCTGTTGGTTTAAAAGGGAATCTATCACTACTGGAAATATTGTTTTGTTGTCCAGGGGACTTAAGCAAATGGAGGGAGATTGACGGCAAGGGAGTTTACAAATCGAGTTCCCGGCCAAAAAGACTCGCTCGATTCTTCCATGTGAGGGGCCCCAAGTGACAAAGCTTCGTCGAAGTGTCCTTGGACCCTCTAGTCCAAATATCCGCTTTTTTCAGGGTATGATGTCGACCCTTTACTAAAAATCGAGGTATTTACCGTGGACAACCAAGTTTTCCCAGAAATACCCAGACAAAAACCGGTTATTTGGAGTAGGGGAGATGCTTGCATTTGCTGAAATGACAGTTTGTTATCCTGTTTGTTTTTTTCAGGGAATCGATTTTACTACTGGAAACGTTCATGGTTTTGAGGGGACTTAAGAAAAATGGAAGGACTGGAAAAACTCTTGAAAGCAGCAGGGCATTGGGAGCACTACTTGGATTGTCCCAGTTGGTATGTGCTTGGCATGTGGATAAGTCCCCCATTCTTTTAGATTAATCCGAGTCACCTAGAGACTCAACTTGGGATATCCACCGCGTGGAGGCCCCAGACTCGCACCATTTGGGGCTTTTGCCTGGCGGAACTGGGGCCCTCAGGCCGAGCGTGGGAAGTTCCAGCGCCTCGGCAAGATGCTGGAGGACCTCCCGCACTTCTGGCAGGCGAGTGGCTGGGGGTGACGGGGGAACGCCAAGAACGGAACCCCTCGCGGGTGTTTTTTTCGGTTCGGGGCTGCTGGTGGTTGTGTGTTTTTGTGGTTTATTCTTGCGAAGAGTTGTTTTTTGGGCGGAGGCGGTGTCCGCGCTTCTGGATGCGGCATGCTTCAACACTTCAAACGCTGTGGTTTCAGATGGTCCTTTGAAAGACATGCCCCAGCCCTCAGTTTTTTTTGAGCCTGGTCAAAGCATTGAACCCTGTTTCGCATGCCGCGACACGCGCTGTGCTCTTGCGCAGCGCTTGGTGAGGCTAGGCGCAAGCTGGTAGAATGGGGACCCACGCCTTGAGATGACCAAAACACGCAAAGGAAGAATCGTGGTGAAGGGATGTCTTGGTGGACCCCAGCCATCCGGTTCCTTGGCTTTTTAGGCTTTTAGTGTTTAGTGGTAGTTTCAGCAGCTTTTCGCAGGGGATCTGAGGGCCCAGATGTGAAGGAGTTTTCTTTTGTTTCTCTTCAGGGAGCTGCTTTCTCCGGTGCGGTTTGACGGAAATGAAGTGCCACCGGCTCAAAACCAACAACCGGTTTCTTTGGAGCGCGCGAGCGTCTTCTTCAATCGGACCTCCAATTCCATTCATATATGAGTTTGCCTCCCTCCCAAAAGGGTAAGCAAGAAGGAACTGCATTCGTGCGGCTCTTCATTCAAACAGCTCCAAACAAAAACGATATCCTCGGCCAAAGGTGCCCAGGTTGGCCAGCTGTGACACCAGAATGCTTTGGAGCGCGAAGTGATGTGTTCAGTCTCCAGACCTTGACAACCTTGAGTCTTCCAGAGACTGCATTCGAACAAAGTAAACAGTCAGGTGCCATTCGGCAACGTGTTTTTTCGAGTTCATGAATCCAATCCACATCTCACTGGTCCAAAGCCGACCTTTTGACCTTTTTTGTTTTTTTCATTTGGTTAATTTTTTGACATAAATGGTGCCCGCCAAAACAATCCCTTGATCCAGACGCTTGGCTTCTTTTCTTTAAATTCGACCCAGATGTTTTTTTTGAGGCAAGTCTCCATGCTTGCTTGAAAAGTCCTCCTTATTTTCTTTGGGTTCTTGTCCCTTCCTTTGAGGCGTTTTCTTTCTTCATGTTTGTCTATTCCATTTCGGTTTCCATTGGGTTTCTTAAATTTCCATTTTCGACCATCACTTGGTGTCCCCTTGGCTCACTTCCTGAGTTCCCCTTGGCGCACTTGAGTCACATTTTTTGGGTTTGGTTGCCATTTGGGTGTGGCTCAAAATTAAACGATCGGAGGGGCAAACCGCAGGTTTTGGTCCATGTTTCCACTTACAAGGGTTCCAGTTTGGTACCGGTTTTTTGAGCCACAGCCATTTTGGTCCAGGACTCTTGGCCAAGAGAGGACTGGGGTCCATGAATAATTTTCGCGATTTGTAAGCCATTACTATTTAAAAGACCTGAAGCCATCAGATGTTAGCACGTTAAGCCACTCATATTTTAAGATTGTAAGCCATTCAGATTTTACGATTCTATGATTTGAATCCTATTGAAACCGCTCACCAGCTGATCCCCTCCCCGATTCCCCGCCAGGCCTCCGAGGCAGATGGCACGTCGCTGCTGCACTGGGCGGCGATGCGGGACGATGCGAGGCGCTCAAAGGCCCAAGACATTACATCTTCACGTCCTAAGTTAAAAAAATAAACAAAAAACAAAAAAATAGAAACAAACAAACAGGAAAGGGTCTGTTTGATGAAGGTCTTGTGTCCCAGGATATTTTTTTTAATGAGGCTCTGGCAAGGTCAAAGTCCCAGGTATGATCAGGTAGGAGGCCCCTCAGTGAGGGCGCCCTTGTCTGCAGAAGGCCCGCCATCATGTGAATTGACTAGATGCAGCACAAACTAGGGGAACCACCTCAAAGGTAGTTGGTAGACATGAATCTCCACCTACACCATGTCCACCAGAGGTTTCCCAAGTATCAATAGAATGTACAATTGAATGTATTTATATCATCGCGAATGTTTGCTCTCGCCCATGCTTCGGCCAGGTCACTCGAAGTGGTTGTGTTTTGAGGGACCTGTTCTCCAAATTGCTCTTGGAACATGGCAATTTTCTCCTTTTCAGCCGCCATGGTGAGAGCAAATCCCAGGATGTCTTGCAAAAGCAGATATAGGGGCGATCTAATGAAAATGCCGGGTTTGCGGTTTGCGGTACTCAACCACATCACGTCACAGGACCCTCATGTCTTTGGCTTCATGTGTTTATTCCTTTGTTGTTTACTGTTTTACCTGTTCAATCCTGCTGTGGATGGACGAAATCCTACACCACCTTGAAACCATGAACCCATTGTTTCTGGGTATTTACACGGGAATCATCATTTCGGGTTTCTGAACGGTGGTGCAGGATATCGGAACCAATTCACAGTAGGGTCACCCTTTGACTCACCCCACCGAGCTCGCCGCATATTTTCGCCGAAAAGAAGACAGGGTTTCCTCCGAGGCGTCCTTCGTGGCCCTGGCGCTGAAGAACTTGGCGGTGGACCTCCCCGGCCCGCAGCAGCAGACGCCACTGATGTGGGCGCCTTCGGCGGCATTCGGCTTCGGCCAGCCAGCGGTTTCGGCAAGCTCGCCTTCGGTGTTCGGGCGCGAGCGAAGCAATTGTTTTTCTCCGATTTTCCGGCCGAAGGGAGTAGTCACACCAAAGGAGTTTGTTGCCTTTCGACTTTTTTGGGAAGACAATTTTTAGCAAGCAAAGTTCCAGGACTTCTGTTAAGCCAAGACACTAAGTAGTTTCTTCGGTTCCCTGGTTCAACTTGGATTAAGGCCTGCAATGCCTACATAAACCTTAATCCATCTCAGTAGAACCAAGCGTCAATAGGGTGTTGGGTTCTGCTCGAGTGAAGTGGGGGGCGTTGGGTTGCGTCCAAGGGATGTTTCGTCCGATATGGATGTGTGTGTGTGTGTGTGTGTGCGTGTGTTTTCTCACCCGTCACCCTGTTTCAGATATCAGAGGGCAGCCAAAAGGAAACCAGCCATAGGGACTACCCTAGTTTGACACTCCCATGTGTCATGTTGACACGCCCCTGTGTCATAGTTGTTTCTGGGGTGTGTCTCCGGGTGGACTAAATCTGAAGCCGACCCAAGAAGTGGGCAAAGGTGAGTTTGGCAACAGCAATAGGCGCCCGGACAAAATGTTTGAATCATTGCCAGACTTTGCTTACTTTTGAACCTGTTCTTTCATTTTCTCGTTCGACCAACAAGCAGTCAAAGTATTACAGAGGGGTCTGAGTCTTGCCCAGTAATTTGGGGAAGAGCGAGTCAGCAACAAACGTGCTTATACCAGGCCATCGCTTTTGGCCATGCCCTTTCGCTTTTGCAAATCGACGGGTATCAGTTTGGTTTCTGGTGGCGAAAAAAAGTCGGGCACATGAGAACATGCAAGACGGCGCTTAATCAAAAACAAAGAAAAACAATTAACAACTAAGAGCAATCAACACCTCCGAACATGCTTTTCCTTTTAGAGTCCCTCCGAATCACAGGTTTCACCGGTTCTTTTGAATTGGGGGGGGAGGGAGGTGTTTTGCTTGGAAGGTCCGACCGGTTTTGGGGGTTTTCAGTTTTGATACCTGGAGAAGGGTTGATGTCAGCCTGTTGGTTGCCAGTCTTTTGAGCGACGGTTTGCAGGATGGTGTTGAGTAGGCAATGGGAAACCATATATGTATATATACAATATAATCAAAATATGCCCCAAGCAGGGGGACAAGCAATGACAAAGAGGCGCTTTCAAGCAGCCGTAGCCGTCTTGCGGTGGGGAAAGAAAACCGTGACTGTTCAAGCATCCTGACCGAAAACTCAATTTCCTTGGGCGTGTGTGGCGATTTGCGCGAAAATGAATTACTAGTTGTCAAACAGCGATCTGCGACTTGGGACTTTGGAAGCAGAAAGTTTCACAGCTGTTGGCAAGTTTTGGGGTGTTGTCTGTGTCTTTGAATGGTTCTGTTGATTTCGATTCCGGGGCCTGCAAACAGCGTGAAGTTGGGTTGTAAAGAAAGTACACGTGGGACCAAGGTTTGGTCCATGTGTGACCGAATGAATTGCTCCCAAAGCGGAGGACCTTCTTTGGGGGTTTTCCCCAATGGGGGTCTCTGCCCAAAAGCTCTGGGGTGGTTCGGAGCTGGGCGCTAGGGTTCCGGAGGGTTCCGGGGCTGGGGACATCACTTGGGCTTATCCGACTTATCCATATTTTAGCCCAACAAAAAGCACCGGACCTCCCTTTGATCCACCTGCACGTTTGGCTCCAACTCAAAACCCAGCCCGAGAGGCCACTGCAGCTGGATCCCTGGCGTCTCGGATGGATCCACTCGTGCTTTGGCAGCCCTTGCATGTCCCACTTGGGGCACGGTACTTGGCAACTTCCATTTGGTTAAGAATATTTGTTATTCTCCCCTGTTAGTTTTAAAGGGAACCTATCACTACTGGAAAAATGTTGTTTTTTTTGTGTGTGTTTTTTCCAGGGGACTTAAGTAAGCAATGGAGGGCAAGCGGTTGGTAGGCAATGGTTGGGGGAGTTTCCTTGTTCCTTGCGGCGGATGCCCTAAATATTGCACATGAACAAGGGAGACACCGTGGTTTGTGGTTGTTTTACTTGGCGGCTGACTTTGGTAAAATAGTGGGGCCAGTTGCATGGCTTGAGTTTTCCATTCTCTAGACTGTACACCACGGATCCCTCACGAGATGGAACCCAATGCGGCATCCCCTTGCTGGACATATCTATAGACGTCTTGTTAGTCACTGTTCCAGGCATCTGGGTATGAGTCAAAATTGCACCACCAGGTGGACCGCAGGTTTTAGTCTTTGTTTCCATGTACCAGGGTTCCATTTTCGGGGTTGCCCCACTGTGGATGGACAAAATCAACCATTACTTTGAAAACATGGATGGTTTCTTTGTTGGTATTTACGGGGAATTCGAATCAGAAACGGGGCTTCTGAACGGTGGCGTGAAATGGATTTCGCAACCACCCACACTATTTTTCGCTACCCATCTGACAACAGACAGCCTAGGCTGCGGCTCATGTGCTGATCGCCTCTGGCGCTGACATCCACGCGAGAGATGAGCAAGGCGAGGTGTTTTTCTCGCTCAGACCGCATTTGCTTAAGAATATGTTTTTGTTAATGTTCCCCTGTTGGCTTCAAAGGGAATCTATCACTAATGGAAATATGTTTTCATTTTTCCATGCAAATGCAAATGAACGTTGTATAGGGGTTAGGACCCCTCACTAGAAACCGGCCAGTTGGTTGATTTTTTTCCCGGGAAGGCGTCTTTGGTGTTGCATGTAATGTATGCTGGAGGGTGCTTGTTCATTTCGAGGTGCCAATCGGATGACTTTCCTCTGGCTTGCGGCCAGAGGCTCTCTGCAGACGAACGCGGGAGAACATAGGATCTCTTGCAGGTTCCCCTCGAGTCATGATTCCAGCCAACCCAGGGAGAAGCACTAAACCCTATGAGTAAACAAGGGTAAGCACCCCCAGCGCACCCCCCTATGAATAAACCAGGGTCGATGAATTGATGAATCCGGGTTGCATCCACTTTCCCACTTCGAAGGTGCCACACCGCTGCTGCACGCAGTGCAGCACGAGTGCTTTGGCAGCACGCGATCCAGGAAGGGAGGATGCTGGAGTCGTGGAACCGCACGCAAAAAGGCACACCCGTTTCCTTCCCGGGGCGTGCCTAGTAAGTTGTTGGTATCCTAGGTCCCCCAGTAGTGCCCTTTCACCGTTTCTTTTTGGGGGAGGGTTCCCCTACTATAATAGACTACAGAAAAAGGGTGCTCGTATTCTAGCCTCTCTACTGGAGGACCTAGTATATATCCTATCACGCACTTCTAAGTCTCCCTAAGCGGGGTTGTCCGGTTGTCCTTGTTATTAGAAGTGGCAAACCACAGACGCTAACTTGGCGCAACATCCAGAGGAACCCGGAACCCCTTGATTCCAAGCATGAACCAAACAGGAGCTTGGTCTTTGCAGACATCTCATTGCGGTTTCTGCTGATGCGATGGGAGGGCGGTTCAGGCTTCACCTTGTCACACTGGGGCTCGTTCCTTTTTGGATTTTACACAAATCACCGTGTTGTTGCCCATTTTTCCATATTTGAATAATATTGTTCCACTTCCATTTTTCAATTTTTCCATTTTCACCTATGTCCATGGGTTGAAATATCAGTGAAATAGAAGAAACAGCTGGAGCCGTAGACGCCGTGTTTGATGCTTCGGGCTTTGGAGGCCAGCTTCGGCCAGCTTCGGCCAGCTTGCGAGGCAACGGACGGCCATGCTGCGGGTGCTTGCAGCTGCTAAGGAGGAGGAGGTCAAGAAGCTGCCTGGCCAAAACTAGGTGCTTCCGAAGTTGACAAGCATCAAAGCACATCGCAACATGTACATACACATTCTGTAGATCCAAGTGCAACCTGTGTTCATGTGTTCTCTTCAAGACCTTTCGTGCAGGCATATCTTGGTGGTTCCCAGCTATCCGGTTCAACGGTTTTGAGAGTCTTTTAGTTGATTTGGTGGTGGGGGTTACGACTTGAACCCACCAAAACCTATTTTTTAGCAAGGGATCCGAGGACAGCCCAGATCACATATATACATAGACATTATGTATGACACATATCCATGCAACCTGTGGTTATGTGTTCTCTTCAAGAAATTCCGTTTGGGGGACCTTTTGTGCTTGCGGCTCGACAAATCCGACTTGCGCCAATTTGCGCTGCCGATGGGGGCTTCCGCTTCGTGGCCAGGCCACTATGAAGGCCAAGGGCATGACGAAGATGACACGGGAATCGGGCAATGAAGTAAATATGCCCTGTTGGTAGAATTTGGGGCACCTCCCCAAAGAATCACTTCCAAGTGGACCCCAGGCGTTTCGCCACTGTAGGTACGTAACCCTTCGCAGTTGTCCTTGTATTTTTTACAGGGCGGGAACCCCCTTGGTGTCCTAGAGTTCGAGATGGAATAACGTACCTCAAGCGTAGTTGTGTACTTGGTCAGTATCTTTTGAGGCTCAGTGCCCCTTTCAGGTTGGTTCACCATCTACTGTAACGCAACCTTGCGTCAGCCTGTTGATGAATTTACGGCCCAGGCTAGTGGCGGCAACTGACGTCAAGGCTGGGAGAGCTGACCGTCCAAGAGCCAAGATGCGGCTTGCAACAATCATACCTAGAACTTCCTGCGGCGGAAATTTCTGCCGCAACGCATTGCGGCGGAAATTCCCGCCGCATTCCAGAAAATCAGCCGCAAACAAAAAAATACACGCCGCAACCAAAACAAAACGCAGCAACACCGTTTGCTTTCCGGGAATTTCCGCCGCCTTCCCGCCGATTCCGCCGCATTCCCGCCGATTTCCGCCGCAAATCGGGGGGTAGAAAAAACTGAAAGCAAGTTCTGCCGCAATTCTACAAAAAACGCCGCAACTCAGGAAGAAATGCCGCAAATCCAAAAAGGCGCCTTTTTTGATTTGCGGCAGACATTTCTGCCGCAACGAATGTCTAGGTATGGGTTTGTCTCTGCCCAAAGGCAACCCACAAGATGCATAGTTCTCCTGTACTTTGACGCAACCCAAACATGGTATCCTCTATATATATATATATATATGTATTATATTACCACCCTCGAAATATTTTGTATATATATATATACATATACAAGTGGTACCCACCCCCGGAACCACCCTAAACCAGAAAAAACAAAAAACAGTTCAGCCCCAGAACCCAAAAGCAACGCAATGCAAGTGCAGAATCTCATGTCAGCGCAGCCCGCGTCGGAGCCGTCCATCCTCTGCGCCCCAGCATCGGGCCCGCATCAGTCCCTGAGCTCCAACTAGGCATGCTCAAGTGACTGATATGCCCGGCCACCCCCTCCCCGGGCAATTCTACGCGTTGAGAATTGGCCCTCGCACCCAACCCGCTTCCGGCTCGCAGGGACGCAATGCCGCGCACTGGGCCGCCTTTCTCGGGGACACCTCGTGGCCTGGTGATTGATCAGGGTCAGGGCAGCCACATTGGCGGAGAAGCGAAGCAGGGACCCGTCGAAATATATGTGTCCGGGTCGGTTTCCGCATGTAAGCCACCCTTTTTCCAAATGGTTCCTTCACAATTTCAGGCCAAGGATTAGAGAGACAAGGTGACAACGCCCGAAACGCACCTTGCGTTTTCAGCCGAAAACCTCAAAACGTGATTTTGCCTGGGCGAAACGCACGTCGATTGCCAAAAAGCATGTTCCGGATGCCTCAAATCCTCCACGACGGTGTTGTCATTTTGGACTTGACATGCGTTTCGCCTAGGCGAAATCACTTTTTGAAACAAGCAGGAGAACGCAACTTTGTGTTTTCGCAAAGCTTTTATAGATCAGGCTGCCATATAGCTCAGGCCGACATGCACAGCCTGCCTGCTGCTGATACAGCACTGAGCGGGGTCACTTGAGCGGGTGCGTCTATCATTTGGCAGGGCATGGATGCAGTGCTGAGCGGGTGCTTATCGTTTGGCAGGGCGTGGATACAGTGCTCAGCAGGGTCACTTGAGCCGGTGTGCTTACCATTTGGCAGGGAGTGGATACCGTGCTGAGCGGGGTCACTGCAGATACAGTGCTGAGCGAGGTCACTTGAGCGGGCGTGGTTATCTTTTGGCAGGGCGTGGATTCAGTGCTGAGTCGAGTCACTGCTGCGGGTGTGGCTATAATTTGGCAGGGCGGATACAGTGCTCAGCGGGGTCACTTGAGCAGGTGTGCTTATCAATTGGCAGGCGTGGATACGGTGCTCCGCGGGGTCACTTGAGAGGGTGTGCTTACAATTTGGCAGGGCGTGGATACGTGCGAGGCGTGTGCGGAGCGATGAAATTGTTGACAACGCCTGTCGGAACCCTGCAAACAAACGAGCCTGTGAAATGTCAAAATTGGCTAAACATGTGAAATGTGAATCAAGGCTAAACACGCAGGGTAGGGTCTGGGCGATCTCACCAGAAACAAGCCTTTTGCTCAAAAGGTCGGTTCCAGGTTGGCTCAAACTAGTTTGGTTCGACAGCACCGGCACCCAAGCAAGCCACTTTAGTAGCTACCCACACATTTGTTGCTGAAGGACAATCTGCTTGGCCGCCTGCTTTGAAGGTCGATGGAATCTCTAGGCTAGGGTCGCTCAAGGACAAATGTGTGTATGGTACTGCTGCAGCCTGGTTAATGGATACCCTATATTCACGAAAGTGTCCCAAGTGATGCGATACAGGTACTGTAGCATAAACCCCACGTTTCCGGTGGGGGAAGTGGTTTGGGGGCAGGGGAAACCATCTTGGAAAATGATGATGATGATGATGATGATGATGATGATGATGATGATGATGATGATGATGATGATGATGATGATGATGCCCAAGCTTATCCCTTTGGGGTTGGTGACATCCGGTCGCCGGACACTGTTGAAACGTGGGTTGCTGTTGCATGACAACGACGATTCCTTACGCAAACCATCTCCCCAAGTATTCAGGTGTCGGTTCGAAATCCGCAAGCCGAAGCTTTCAGGTGAGGGAGGGCGAGGAACGAAGGGACGAAGGCTTGGCGTCGTGCGACCCTCCTGCGACGCGAGGGGGCGAAAGTAGATGAGAGATGAGAGGCACATTTTGAGAAGCTGGTGCTTAGTTGGCCTAGGCGGCTATGGAGTCTTGGGAGGCTGTTAGACTCAAACCGGAAGACACAGATTCAACATTCTTTGGAGGCAACACGGGACCATCTCTACAATCCGCTACCCAACGGAGGCAAACAGGAGGCCGCAAATTCAGGCAAACTTTCCTCGAAGCGCACAGGGTGATATCCTGAAATAGCCACCTACAGCCTGAGGTCATTGAAGCTGCTCAGCCACTTCGGTACCAACCTCTTGCACCTGGATGAGAGGAGGAGGGCCTGTGATGGCAATTCGTTGGGTGGCATGAACTTGATGGCTATTGGCTTACGAATCTTTAGACTTGAACTTGTTGGTTGAAATCAAGGGCTCTCCATGGAGCCCGCAAAAAGACGAACACTTTTCGCAGAGGGGCGGCTTTTCCATGGAACCCACACAAAGATGAACACTTTCCGCAGAGGGGGCAACAGCAACACGCCAAAGGCCTCTGAGAAAATGCAACTGCAATTCTGCTTGCCTTGAGGCATGGTTGCAATCATCGCCAGCAGCCTTTCAACCGCAACCATACCCACCCTGTTGCCACCGTTGCCGCTGCCACCGCTGCCGCTGCCGCTGCTGCTGCTGCTGCTGTTGGCTGGTAGTCATTGCTGTGGTTGTTGCTGTTCTTGCTTTTGTTGTTACTACCATAGTCGCTGTTGCTGCTGCGGCTGCTGCTGCGGCTGCTGCTGCGGCTGCTGCTGCGGCTGCTGCTGCTGCTGCTGCTGCTTGTTGCGTTGTTGGTGTTGGCGGTGGTGTTCATATTCTTACGATTTTTTGTCCTTGTGATAACCATTGCTCCTGCGATTGCTGTTTGTGGGTGCTACTGCGGATACTGTGGGTGGTCCCAGTCCATTTCGCAACACCGTTCAGAAACCCTAGGGAATAATTCGATTCCCTTGCAAATATCGTAGCAAACCTTCTGGTTTCAACCATAATTTCCAAGTGGTGCGAACGGATTTTGCCACCATCCACAGTGACATCCAAGATGCAGGTCCAACACATTAAAGTGGCGAGCATCTATCCTTCATAGCGCCGGGGGGGTACTGTGGGTGGACGAAATCCTGCACCACCTAAGAAACCCTAAAAAGAGGATTCTCCTGTAAATACCAACAAAAATGCTTTCAACCATGGTTTCATTTCGTGATGCGAGAAGCGGATTTGGTCCATCCACAGTATGCTTTGTTGGTGCGTGTCATCTCCAGGAATACGGCCCTGCACCAGGCGGTGCTGGGCCAGCAACCAGGTGCCATCGATTCGGCTCGAGGGCGCGTCTGCTTCCAGCTCGGTCGTCACCACCCAAGGCCATGGGAAGTCCCCTGGGTTTTTTACCCATCCACGTACCCGATGGCCACAAGTTCTGGCGCGAGGGGACTCGAAGTTGAAGGCCCCCTAGAAACTCTCATGTGCTTAAGACGCCGCATGCGAACAGGGAATCCACTTACGGAAGAATTTTCGGGCTTAACAACGGGTTTGGGGGATATTCTCATTTTGGTCGCCATTTGGTCAACGACTTTGCATAATATGGTGAGACAGGGCGGGAGTCCGGGGAACTCTGAGTCTGGACTTACGGATCTTTCAGCGAGACTTGTTTGTGCGAGACATGGCGGTTGCCCATGTTGGCTATGTATTGCACACATCAAGACGTGTTTAAAGGCTGGTTCATCGGCTTAGTTTCGATCAACTGGTTGACTCAGCATCAAATAAGGGCCACAAAGATCGCACAAGGCCACTTGCGTTTGATAAGGACTTGATCAAACCGTACACCATACAAGGAGTATTGTGGCATTCGTCCGCATCTCCAGTTCGCCGTATCATAGTTTCCCAATCCGAAATGCAGTGCTCTTGGCCTCGCGTTTTGCGTGCAGATATCTTGGAGTACCTCATGGACAGGGGCGTTGACCCGGAGTTGCACAACGCAGATGGCGCCGGGGGAAGGGGTCGAGTGGTGATGTTACGTTGCGTGACGGTGCCATGGCTGTGGGTCAAAATTAAACCACCATGGGACCACAGGTTTAATCCATGTGTCCATTTGCCAGGGTTCCCATTTAGGGTCCATATTTTTGACCCACTGCCACATGTCAATGTGTGTGACGGCAATGTGGCGCTTGCCTGTGCATTGCTGAGCAAATTGAAGTTTATTCCTAAGATGCATGGCCTCATTTAACCTTCTGGCTGACTGTTGCACAAGGGTAATGTGAAACATGGATGTGACAGGTGGCATAAGCAGGGTTGCTTGCAGTTGAGGCATGGCTGTCGAAGAAAGGAACTAGAAGCGAATGTTAGCCTACACGGTTCAGCCCGAAAACGAGATCCCAACCTAAGGCATGCTGGGCACAGGACAACAAACACAAATTTGATATTGAGCAGTGCGTATTATTTACCTCGATGTTGTCATTCCTTTCTTCACCGACCTGAAGGGACTTGTGACACATTTGGGTGTGACCCCTAAATTGTTAGCTGTTCCTTTTGGCCCCCATGTCCCTCCCAAATGGACCACAGACCATTCAAAAACGATTGAGCATCTTGGGGGGCCGGTAACACAGCGCAAGCGCTGCAATTGGAACGTTTGAAGTCGGTTCATCTGAGGGTCCTGGCACCATTTTTCTCCGGGACCTGCGCCAAGTGTCAAAATTAAGCCACCAGGAATTGAACCGCAGGTCTTGGTCTCTGGTTCCATTTACCAGGGTTCCCAAAACGGGTACCTATTTTTGACCCACAGCCAAGTATCCCGGATCCCAACGAGCAACGCAGGCGCCAGCTGCGTAGACCTGGCCCGGGATGGCGGTCACAAAGCCACCATCAGCCCGAAGCCCGGCTGTTGACAGCAGCCGCTGCACATGATCAGACCACAATTCGGTAGATACCAAAAACAAACTATAGCATCACCAGTTTAAATCTTCAAATAATTTAGTATGTTGGTATCTGGTTTCATTTTCTCAATTATTTGTATTAAATCAAAACATTGCTTGATGCTTTCTCCGTCTGCCAGCATCCTCAAGGTAGCTTTCCATCTATCAACTTGCGCTCGGGATCACCACCGTTCGACTTGGATAGTCCCGGCCCTGATAAGAGGACCCCTCCAAAAGAGCCCTGGAACCAGGTTGAACCATAGAAGCCTTTCCCTGCTGCAAACATATGTCCACTCTGTCGGTTGTTGGTCCTCAAGCAAACCAGTCCCGACACGTCAGAAGTAACATGAGTGGCTTGCCTTTGCAACCAAGTTGCCATAAAATTAACCAGCGTTACCCAACATTGCTGGCAGTGAAATTAACACGGGAATTGTGCAAATGCCTGGCTTACCACAGTCCGGAGCTTCACATCTTGAGACAGAATGTGAACGGAAGCAATGCGGCCCTGCTTCACAAGAAGCGAGTACTTGCCACCCTCCACCCTTGCCACCGGCCCTGCTGAACGGTTCCGGTTTTTTGGAGACTCGGTTTTTCGTGTCCTTATATTTTTAAAGAGGTCCCCTGCATTTCAGTGAAAAAGAGATTCCCCCCCAAACTTACGGTTCCCCGGAGTAAAGGTTCCCCTTTTGCGAGAGCTTCCCGAGATTCCCTTTGCAAGAGGCCCCCTTTGAGGTTCCCCCAAATTTTGTCGGGCTTTGAGGTGCTCTGGAGCGGCTCCTGAAGCCCAAAGGCCGGCTGGCTTCTTTTCGCTTGGGTTGAACATGGGAGGCGCGGTCCTTGTGTTTTGCTGGGTGTTTGGCCAATTTGTGCTTTTCGAGGATAGGCGTTTTGGAGTGGATGGGGAATAACCAGTGACCCTTGCCAAACTCAAACAGCAACCCAAATGTCTTGTTTGCTCTCAGTAGGCAGTGTGGGAATGACGGTTTACCAGCCTAAAGAGAATGGCTGGGGCGGTTCATTCCCACATTCCTCACTGAGAACAAGCAAGATGTGGCGGATTTATTGTTTCTTGCCGAGTGAATGGCCAGGTCAAAGATCTCGCAGTTGTTTCCTGTTCGCTTCCTCTGCTTACATCCCGGGTAAGCTAAAGCGGCGTACCCAGTGGCCAGAAAGCTGACGCACATGTGAGCAGCGCCAAAAAATAAACGCCGATCCAGCGCTAGAACCAAAAGTCAACGGATTTGGGGCACTGCTCAGTGTTTTGCACGCTTCGGCTGGCATTCGTACATAGCTGCACTGTCAGGAACAAGACAAAATGCCACTGCTCAGTAGCTTGGGCTGAAGAACCTACCAGGTAGGGCGGTGGCGAAGCAGATGGCAAGGCTGAGGGGCGGCCACCTGAAGTTGCAAACCATGCCTTGTCGTGGCACCTTGGACGTACTGTGGAGGGACAAGATTCGCTCGCACCACTTGGAGCCATGGTTGAAGCCAGAATGAAAACTTGGTATTCACAGAAGAATCATCGTTCCTGGTCTGAACGGTGGTGCGAAATGGATTTCGTCCACCCGCAGCCTGTTGGCCAGTGCAAGTTCTGCACGGATACGTACGGCCGCGCCGGCCTTTCCATGCGTGTGCTCCTTGTCGAAATGTACTTTGGGAAGTCTGCCGGAACATCTTTGCTGCGCACCGACTTGCGTTATGTGCATTACGGGCGCCGGGACGGAGTTCTGCTTTTTGCCTTGCGCGTGAAGTACAGAAGCTCTTGCCTTGCAGGTGGTGCAACTCTGCCTGCGCTTTTCGTTCAGAATGTCAATGGTCCAGCAAATTGGGGCGCACACATGCCTACAGGCAGTGTGAATCTGACTCTTCTGCCTTCACAGAAGACTGTGCGGTGTGTACAGGGCAGTTGCCTTGGTGCTACTCATAGCGGTGAGCAAATAACGCATGCCTCCCTTTGCGTGAATTGGTGTGCTGGATTTCGAGGCATTTTAAGCTACCCTTCGCTGCTTTACCGCGAGCTGATTCATGACAGCGTGTTGGCGTCCCCTGCGCTGCGTCAGATACAGTCAAGAATCTAGTCTTTTCTAAGTTCTTCCAGACCATGCTGAACAGCGCGAGCGTCCACGAGTGAGTTGGCAAGCTTTGTTTCATGCACTGCTCCAACCGTGAGCTGACCGATCACCCTGCCCTGAGGGCGGCGCTAACTACGGTAGTTGATGGTGGGGGTATTCCGGCAATGGGGCTACGTCCCCGTGCCCAGAGCCCTGCTCCATTTCTTCACTCATCGTAATTAAGCGATGTCTCAACTCATCGTGTCAAACTACACGCTCCGGCCGGTTCAAAGTCAAAGTCAAAGGGCGCTGCTCAGTCTCAACCTGTCAGTCTTCCAGCTTTGGTCCAAACTGTTAGTTTACCTTGAGGGCCCAGGACCTCCAAGGATGCGCGCCATCTCGCCGCGGGGAAGGCATCGATGTCCACGAGCTCGCGGAAACGGGCGCCGCTGCCTTCAAAAGGGCGGAGAAGTTGGGCGTCAACGCCAAGGACCGTCACTCAAGTTCTTGCCGTTTGGGGGGCGGGGTTGTCACACTGAGGCGTCCTTTGTATCCCCCCACAAGGCGGCAAAAGGCAGCACCAAAGTCCATGGACTCTAAGTTTCAGATTCTATGTTGCATTTGGCATGGACATGGCGGATTTTACCTTCTAAAGGCACCCAGGCGACATCAACAGACATCCTCACAGTCAAGATCAACTGCGAAAAGGTCATGTCCAGTCTGTCCACGTGGGAGAAATGGACAAAGCTCAAGGCTCCCATTTCGCTTGAAACATTGCCCAAAGGGTGGTTGCTTTAGCTTGTTTGGACCGCACTTAAGGAGTTGACATCCCAGTTGGCAAGTGCGCCTGAGTTGCGGCGCATGTCATCTTAGCTGGCATATGAGGGTGACTGCCACCCAAAGTATTTCGGCAAACTTGGTATGGTGACTGCCATGGAAATGAGATTGTATTGTCCAAGATGCCGTAAAATAGCAATCAAGCAACCAGAAATGAACAAAGAGCAACCCATTATTCCAGGCGGTGAGCAAGTGATCGCAAGTCAAAGTGAGCAGGTTTGCGAGAGGCATACTGTTCAAACCCCGGGAGTTGTGTCACCATTGTCATTGACTACATACGTTGTTGATCCTATTGCCAAAGTGGGAATGGAGCCCAGCACAAATGCTCCAAAAACCATCTTCCAGAAATGAGAAGGGCTATGTGAATAGGACCCTGTTCAGCTGCTGAAGCAGTACGGAGCCGGTCTCTTCTGGCTCAGGCGCACATTTCGATGCTTTATGCTTCGGGAGATTTTGGGTTTGCAATAGTGATACGTTCTGGCAACTCGATCCATGGGACGACTGAAATGACATGACACAGGGCATTGATGTCCGAGTTTGTGTAGTTGCCCGCAGGTGTGGTTGGGCGAAGTTGGTCGCTCATCTCGTGGGGATGATTGCCATTCCTTGGAGGCTTATGTAGACAACCCCTTGAGGAATGCTTGAATTGCCTTGGATCTTTAGACTTGAACTTTTTGGAAAAGAACTTTTTCCCAAATAAAAAAAGAAACACACTTTTTGGGCGTTCCCGATTTTAAGACATGCCCAAATCTCACGAATTTCCAAGGCTGAAGATCCAGAAAACCTGAGCGAATCCAGACCGCCACGACCAAATACCCACAGTTTGATGATGCCATCCCTACAAACAGAGGCGTATGCCCTCGAAACCATTTTTTCAAGTTGCGCCTAAGAACTCGTGAGGTATTTGGTGTACCCCGGACCTTTGGCATCCAAAAGAAGCTCCGGCATGGGTGAAAACAGATGGCATTCCCGCATGTTGGCTCGTCATCCCCTTACCTTAAAGGGAGTTGTGGCATCTACTTGCCAAGCCCAAAACCAGACAGTTGTAAACCGAGCACGTCTTGTGCACTCGCTCGGAACCTCAGAGACCAATCCCGTGGAGACTCTTGCTCTTGCTTCCCAATTTTAAGGCTCACGAACCTTTGGCCATCTAAAGCTAGTTTGTTCTTTTGGCATTGGGGACCTCTTTGCCCTCAAACCTTGGGAGCAAATTTGGAGCAAACAACTTTTCCTCGTTGGCGGAAGCTCACTTTTTTTGAGGTGTTTCCCCTTTTGTGTTACTTCCCTTCACTGCCTTTCATCCCCACCCCTCATTCCGCCACCCGTCACCCCATATTGGTGGGTGTGTCTTGTTTTGAAGGGTAATTACCAGTTTTGTGGTGTTTTTGTTTTGAAGGGACACAGAAAACCCAGCAGGTTGGGGGCCCCCCCTCGAAAAGCACCCGTATTTCACCAACCTTCCGACCTTCCGTTTTGAGTTACTTCCCTTCACCCCAAAGAAATCAGCAGCAAGCCCCCCCCCCCCCAGCTTTTCCTCACCAGTTTCTCTGTCCGCAGTTGCGCCCTTCACCTCAACAGATCAGCAGACAACGCCCCAGCCTTTCCCCACCCCGGGTGGGTTTTCCTGACCGACCAGCTTTTCCTGACCGGGTTTTCACCCCAACACATCACCAGCCAATATCACCCCCCGGTTTTCCGACCCTTCCCTCCCAGAAAAATAATTCGCTTGTCCCCAGGATTTCTTCCTGACCAGCTCTTCCTCACCAATTTGTTCACCCCCATATCAGCCACCCAAGACCGGCAGCTGCGTGTCCATCACGGTCTTGGAGTACCTGCTGGACTCCCGGGACGTCGCCTACGAGCTGGCGCCGCAGCTGGCCCTCGGCTTCGAGCTCGGGACCTTGGCGCCTCGCACGCACACAGACGCGAGCGCCTTGATTGAGCCGGAGCCGCTGGAGCCAGGGGAAAAACCGCGCCGTGGGGCAACTGGCCATGTGGTTCCTTGGATTTGTTGGTTCTTACTTGGGTGAGTGGTGTCCGAATTTCACCCAAAGGCTGAACTGTTAGCAGGGGATGTGAAAGCAGCCCAGTTTGGGGTGGTTTAAAAGGGAAACCAAAGGGAACCACACAGATTTGTTGCGGGAGGCTCCCGTCTTTTGAGGCAGACAAATGAAAGTGTCACTTTAGCCAGTTCCTGCTGCAAACCAGGGGTCCCTGCGGTGTGGCTTTGAAGGCGACCCTTCTGCTTGGTCAGGGAAACCAAGTCAAACCGAACTCCACCTTCGGGGGTCAAACAAACTCCCGAGCTTGACGAGCCATTTTCATATGTGCAACCGCTTGAAGTGACTTTGAGTGTCCTTGACGCTCCGGAGGTCGACGTCGACTTGAAATGGCCAGCCTTGTCAAAGTGGGGCAAGTCTTGATTTTCTTGCGAAAATCTGCGGGGGGGGGGGATCCTGCGACCAAGGCTTTGGTGGGTTATAAGTTATATGCCCATGGCTACTACCCACTTATCTAGCCATACCCTCCCATGCTCCTCAAGGTTCTTTTGTTCAGAAATGGCTTTCAACCAGGAAAAACCTGCCTTGAAGGACATTTCAACAGCGTTCACTATGTTTCCCCTTCGGGTGGTTTCAAACGACACCTTTTGAAGCCATTTGAAGTAGTGTCCCTTGGGATGTTTGAAGAGGATTTACGGGGACCCCTTTTCCACCCAGAAAGAACTCGATGCAGCTCGATGGATCCTGAATCGTAGCCTCGCTGTGAGGGGTGCCTCTTGCTTTGGCTCTTCATCGCCACGGGCAACCCTGGCAAGGCTCGGGCAAAAAGAAAGGCGTGCCTAAGACAGGTGCCCTTTTCAGGTCAGGGAATCCCAAGCAAAGAAGCAGCAGTGCCTCTCGTTTTTGTGGGTTCAGCCTCCGGTGACCTATCCGGTGACTTAGGCTTTGGGTTCAGCCTAGTGTTTGTGTTCGAAAAGGCCGAGAAAACTCGGGCCCGTTGCGTCGAATGAGCAGACCTCATTGGTTTCTCGAGCTAGAAGCCTGCGTGGGCCACCGCCGATTTGTTGCCAGGTGCAGTGGTGAACAAGGGACAATTCGTTGCATGGGAAAGAATAGAATATGTGGGGGTTGATCAATATTCATATCTGGCCCCAAAATGACCATGCATAACTTCTCCCATTTAGCGGGAAGTATCATCATCTGGTGGTTTTCCAACCAATGGACATCCCATGCAAAGGACCTTTTGATCAACCCTCCATGTGGTGGGAAAATATTTGGATGTGATGGGTTGTCAACAAATTCAGTTTGTTTCTTGTTTGCTATCCCTTCCGAAGGCGGCATGTAGAGGCGGCGCCAAGTTCTCTCAACACCACCCATATTGACCACCGCCCCTGTAGGCAAAGTGTTGACGTCTCCAAAACAAAGGCCGCAGGTCAAGGCCATAGGGCAAATCGGCGAAGGGAGATTTGGAATCTCACGGAATGCGGGTGTCTAACAAGTTGACGGTCACTGTTTTGGGTTGTTTTGCAAGGGAAAACCTGGGGTAAACCATAAATCTTTCAGGGGTTCGCCTAGCTTTTAAGACACTGGCACTGCCCAGTGGCTTTGGTTCTTTCCTGCACTCGCCACAGAACATGATTGGATCCCTCGGGTTTCATGTCTCTGGAATTGGACTTTGGTCGCTTTGGTATCAAAGGCGGCCAGTTTAGATCTACGGCGCATGCCGGCATGCCTGAATATTGCAAGTACACCACGGATGGTGGCTAATTTTCGCTGGCCTCCACGAGAAGATTCCGCAGGAGAGGTCGGGAGAAAGAGATCCTGAAATCCTGAGCCCCTGGACTTACTGTGAAACGGGGTCTGATGCTCTTCCGTGAAAACCTAGAACTCAAACCACCTCACTTGGTTTCTTTCCTCAGTTAGTGGAACCCTGTTTCCCCTTTTTTTGGTGGCTGCCCCACCAAAAATGGTCCAAGCCCCAAAAAGGGTTCCCTTTTTTCTCCAGGGTCACTGAACAGCTGAGTTTCACATGCAACCTGAGGGACTGGCCTTCTTGCAACCTTCTGCTCCGTGGAAAGGGCAGACGGAGAGAGGACTTGCTTTGTCCTGCTGGTGCGACAGGCAAAAAATGAGTTGGAATGACCCTTGGTGGGCAATCCTTTATTCGGGAATCCCTAAATTCCTGGTAAACCATCCCATTTGAGTTCCTTTCCGGAATCCCGGAAAAAATCCTCCCATCCAACTTGTGGGTTCCTTTCGGGAATGTTTTGGGTTTCCCACCTTCCCTTATCGCACCAAGTTGTTCCACTCGAATGAGCTGAGCCACACCGAGAGCTCAGCTCCGCCAGTTGGAGCCGGCACCTGCGGGCCGCACCCCGGGGCTGGAGGCTTACCTAGGCGTGAGAGATGGAGCCTTGGGGTTTGGGAGATGTCCGGGTCGAGTTGTTTGGGCAAAGGTGACAAAGATGAGCGTTTTCGGCTTTGAATTGCTGTAGTGGTTGGATTTCCGAAGAAAGCCCAGTAATCCAGGGGACACTTCCATTTCCACTCTGGGATCCGGATCTTTCCAGAAAACCATCAAAGCCCCAGGGGAAACGGCGGGTTTTTGAAAAGAACAATGGTTGAAAGAATGAGGAATCAACCCCTAGAAAAGAGGCAAATCTGGGTTTTTTGGATTGCCACTTGTTATGAGAAGGGAAATGCTAGTGATAAAGTCAAGTAAAATGCGGTGTGTGGTTGCCACTTGAGAAAAGGGTATTTCCCGTTTCAAGTGATAGTTATGGCAATCATTGGTATAACACCGATTTTCCACAACCACGGAGACGGAAGCGATTTGTCAAGACGGTTGTACATCTCCCGTTGCCGGCTGTGTCTCGGGAAGTTTCTCAAGCTGTTGTTTAGGCACGTTCGATCCGGGCCGAAGCACGGGGACGGTATGTCAGTTTTAGTCTACCTCTGGGCGTTTCTTTGCGATAGGTTTTAATGTGTTTGCGAGTGTTGTTGCTTTTGTTCGGATAGCCCTTGGCTGGTTTGGAGTGGTGGTTTGCGGGCTTGAACCCTGGTTCTTCTAGAAGGTATTTGGGAAGCCACCCCTGGTCTCCCAACCACCAATCCTGGAGGGAAGCTGAAACAAAGAGGCTGTACAAAGAAAATCCACACAGCTAGCAATGCACTGCCACGAGCGAACCGCGCAGGCTTGTTGCGCTCTGGCCAAGTGGTGGAGGCGTGCTGTGCGACTGTCGCCACGCGGGGGCTGGTGGTAGTATTTCTTCATTTCGTTCAATGGGCATGGTGAGAAAGGGACTGTCCATGCGTGGGTTAGAGCCTCCCGGAGAGGAGCTGGATGGGAGCTTTCCAAAGCTTCCATTTGGTTAAGAATATTTGTTATTTCCCCGCTGTTGGTTTCAAAAGGAATCTATCACTACTGAAATATTTTTTCCAGGGGACTCAAGCAAATGGAGGAAAAGGACTTTGGGCTTTACGCGGTCTTTCTTGTCTTCTTGAGAGCAGGTGCCATCTAGCTCACACCAGCCTCGCAGCGACTGCAAGGGGCCCGCCAAAACATCGGCCTACCAACTGTCTCCCCCACCAACATAGAAGCTCACTGGCTTGCATGCCGCTTGGCCTCAAGAGACTTGTGAGATTGCTTTTTATGAGGGTAAGGGGCCCTACATGATTTCTAGTTGACTCCTCCAAATTGTTTGGCGAGCATTTGGTTTCAACGTACCGCACCCACCCACCACCCTCATAGCCTTCATAGCAATTGTCCCGAGCTCCGGAGGCCATTTGAAATTCGCCCATCCGCTCGTTTGGTCCAGGCCTCTCGCTTGTGTACCACCACCTGGCTGCTGAAGGAGAGAGATGCAGGTCGTGTGGCCCAATTTGGCCCCGAGATAGTGAGCTAGCCGGCTAGGTGCCCTTACCTAAGGGATGAACAGGGGTCACCGGATGTCCTCTTAGCTTGCGACTTACAGGTGGTTTCCGCGGCGACTAGTTACCTTTTTGTTGGAGGTTCCAAAAAAGGAAACTGAGGAAACTCCATATGGCTGTGGCTCAAAAAACCGGTACCAAAATGGCGGGTTGCCCTGGTAAGTGGAAACATGGACCAAAACCTGCGTAAACCCTCCTGTTCAATTTTGAGCCACCCCCACATCAATCCCTGAGGGGTCTTAGCCCACCGTGGGCAGGATGTCGATTGACGGAGCGTGACCCACATAGCGAGGTTTGATCGAGCACAGAGACATATACTGAGTTTTGCCGCGCCAATCGACGCCCGCCAACGCCCGATGCCAGGACAACGAATTCAAGCCAAGATTCCTGGAACCAAGCTAAGCCCTGATTCTACACGCAAAAACCCTACAAACAAAAACTCTACAGCTTAGTTAAACCTTCACCAGGCCTAAGCCTTTAAAACAAAGGCCGTTCCAGCCAACACCCTCAACCAAACCTAAGCCGCACAACCAAAGACCTTATGAACCAGTACTGGTAGTAAAGCCTTGAGGCCACACTGTTGCCCTTGCCTTCAAGCCTAACGTCAATAGAACCCACGAGCCGAACCGCGCTCTAGCTAACCGCATTTGCCAGAGCGCCCCAAAAGCAGAACTTGTTCATGACGACAGCGCGCCACCAAACAAGGCTTGCGGACCTCGGAGAAACTCATCAGAGCTACATGCCAAAGGCATTGTCAGCATCGAAATCCATTTTTTTAAAAATTCAAACGCAAAAAAGCACGCAGCTCAAAAACAAAATACCAGCAAACTGCAGCAGCATCTGAGCGGGGGGAGGGGGGGGGGGAAGTTTGGTCAGCTTGCCTTGGAAAGTGAATTCAAGCCGATTTGCCCAACCATGGCGGTCTGCAATTGAGTCGATACAGTAGCCTGTGTGCCGAGTCTTTGCATTCCATTTGCCCAGCAGCAGTCGGCTTGCAGGACCTCCGCACCAAGTACGATACCATGTGGCTCTGCTTTGCATTAGTGCTGGCTCGAGAGCGGAACGTAGAACTTGAATGGGGAAGACCGGAAGTTGAAACGCCAAAGCAAGCTCAAAGGGAAGATACCTTTGTTGACTGCCATGGGGCAAGTTTGAGCTTTGTGCGTTCTGATATGACATGGAGGTGGCACTAGCAACTCTTAAGCTGGGGGAATAAGGCTGGAAGCTCACCTGGGCTTCTTTGTGACAACGCCCTTGCTTTGAAGGATCTTATTTGGGTACGGGTCAAAATTAAACCAGTCAAAATTAAACCACCAGGGCACTGCAGGTTTTGGTTCATGTGGTACCTTGAACCACAGCCATTTCTGACTGTGACTTCATTTTCCTGTGTGGCACAGCCTGTTTCCTGACTTGAATGGAGTGGGATAATACCAATGAGCTGTTGTCACACGGAAACACTTGCCAGGCAAAAAGGTGTTTCTCGACACCTTTTCGGGTGAGGCGGTTAAACAGGTTTTGAGCCACAGGCACGTTTTGTGGTTGGTAAAAGGTCGGGCTGGTGACCACTCCAAAACCCAAAGACAAGTGTTTGGATTTGAATCCTTCAAGGCAACCACCAGTTGGAGGGTTCAGTTCCGTTCAAACTGATTGCCTGTCGAACCAGACACCAGCAGCCAATCCAAAAGGAGACAAAGCGTTGCCAGGCTCAGCTTGACAAGTGAAATGGCTGTGGCTCAAAAAACCGGTACCAAAATGGCACCCTGGCAAGTGGAAACATGGACCAAAACCTGCGCTTTGCCCCTCCTGTTTAATTTTGAGCCACACCCAAATATGTTGGTTCTTTTGGTTTCCACGATTGTGCCTTTCAAGCCGTTCTACCGACATGACAAAGATTTGTATATGGATTGCTATATACCCTAGCTGTTAAGCCAGGTAGTAGCACCACCTACTAAAGTGGCCAATGTTTGTTTTGGCGCTGCCGAATTGGGTTGGCACCTGGGAACAAGGCCGAGCGCCGGGATGTGAAAAGCTGAGGTCAGGCGGCTGCATACAGGACAGTTTGGGAGTCGACTGAGGTTCCCCTTACTTGCTGGTTTGGGTTGGTTGAGGGATTGGAACTGGTTCTTGAGGGTAAATGGGAAACCCCCTTAGCTTCCAAACCACCGAGCTCCACACCACTAACAGGGGAAGGCTGAATGACCCCTCTTTTTCGGAGTGGGTCTGGGTTCCCCATGTTCCTCGATTTGGTGGTTTTGAGCATGAGCCGCAATCAAAACCCGGCTAAGGGAGGATTAGTAGCGCGACTGCCTTTTTAGTCCCTCTTTACATGGTTTTGGGTTGACCATTTTCATACCAAGAGTTCCTTTTTGGTTACGGACTTGGGCCCCGCATTTTTGTTGAGGACCGGGCAACTAGCCCCCAACCTCCAAACCACCAATTCCAGCGAACGGACCCTTTGTTCGAGAGAAATGTACCCAATGGGAAAACCGGCTGGAGTCATCCGAGCTGGTTGAATGAGCAGTCAACTCGGATGCAATATGGAATCAGAGAGAGGTATAAAGCGCGATGGTGGATGTTCATCAAAGCATTTCAGCACAACCAGGAAACGGCAAAAGGGACGGTGGCATGGTTAGGGACTGTCCAAGTGTTTACTCTTCTTTAGAAGACAAAACAAATCCATCCATTTGTAAATCAATCTTTTTTTGGGAGCCTGTTAGATTCCATGTCAATCACAATGTCAATTTTCAGGGAAGTATCCACGCTCATGCAACCTCCAGCTGTGCAAGCGGTTGTACGCGTTGAGTTTGCATCGTTGCGTGTTCTCAACTGATGCTTGGCGATCCTACTGCGGGTGGACGGGATCCTGCACCACGGAAGAAGATTGGAATGATGATTCCCCTGTAAATGTCAACAAACATCTCCCATGGTCTCCAAGTGGTGCAGGCAATTGTCCATCAACGGTATTGCCCAGGAGTTCGATCATTTCTGCAACTTCACTGGCTGCGCGATCGGCTTGTAGCTCAGAAGCTTCCGTTGGGTTGCAATGTGCAATTAGTGTCTCAACCCAAACATCGTCCCCAAAAGGCGTGATGGCATTTTGGCCCCATGTCAGATTTGGCCGTCCTTCAGCTTGGAGCGCTGGCCGCGACTCGCCAGCTTGGTTTGCCTTTGATTTGTTGATTTGTTTCTGTCAGGGAAATGGTTGCTTTCCCGTTGCTTCCATTTGGTTAAGAATATGTTTTATTTTCCCCTGCTGGTTTTACAGGGAATCTATCACTACTAAATATATATATATATATATTTTTCCAGGGGACCAAAACGCACATGGAGGGTTGGAGCAGGCGCTTCATGGATCATCACCTTCCAGATCCATCCGACCGCTAAATTATTGGCGGAGGTCGCTTCAACCACCGGCAGTTCATCCTCTTGAACTCTTTGGAGCCGCTGACGCAGCTGTCGTATTTGGGCATTTGTGCCCGACACCCAGTACACCCAGGCCGCATTTCTGAGCATAGCGGAATTTCCAGAACTCTCACAGCCTCAATTGAACTTGGAAGTTTTAGGGAAGATGATGTTGTGACACACTTTGGACTTTCACCATCTTTATCGGCATTGGGATTCTGAGCTTTGCTCTGACAGTGCTTTGCCTGATTGGTCCGCTGCGATTACTGTAGATGTCCAAATCTGTTGAACTCAGGATTGACAATTCCGGGAAGTTTTTGGCTGATCCGCTCGGGAAAGTGAATACATCGTCCACATGGGAAAAGGACCGAGCAAGTCGCTTATTCTCTTTCCAAAGTCCCCTGCCACGTTTGACCATCTCTCTTGGCTTTGAAAGCATGCTTTGGCTTGTTGGTCCACTGCGATTGCTGAATGTTGAATGGTGCACGGTGTAAGTGACAAACTGTCCGCGGTTGCTACCAAGTCCAGTACATGCGAAGGCTGTTCTGATCTTGTGTGGATCATTTCACTCTCTGCAACGAATCCCCGTGAGCATGGAGTTTGACAACTGGCTCCACCTTGCTTTGAACATTGCAGATGGTTCTAAGGTCATCATTCGAATGTGCAGCCTGTATATTCGCCGCAGTCTCCTGTTAGTTCAGACTGCGGCGCGATGTGCCTACTGTTCGATGAGCATCGCCTTGTCCTGCAGGTGAAGATTTGCCCTGCAGGGCTGAGTCAACTACTTTCCATCTCGCTGTCTCTCTCTCTCTCTCTCGCTTGGATAGTTCTGTCTAGACACATGTTTGCAGCCGACAAAGACATGGGCTGCATTGGCCGTGCCTTCGAATTCTCAGAAGTCAAGCTAGTTCCCTCAATGAACATCCTCCCAGCGAATTCAAGATGTGGATAAATTTGGACCAATATTTGGACAGTGATGAAAATCAGAAAATCGTCAAAAGCTGGTGCCAATAATGTGTGCCGGGGCTCCTCCTTTGTGCTCCACATGGCCACAAGGTCCTCGTGGCCTACCGGCCGCGCGCTCAACAAGATTCGGAACTCCCCTGCTGGCAGCGCTCGTTTTTGGTGGCTACTTCCTGGACCCCCCAACTCCAGATATCTTTTCGTGAACTCCTTCCTGCATGTTTTTTCTAGGAGACTTCCTTGAAAAAGCAGAACACCTCCGGACACCCCGTGATTTTCCTTGAAGGGGGGCTCAGGTTCAAGAAAGACCAGAGCTTGATGCTTTGGAGCAGAGTTCCTGAGTCCGTTTTTGTTTTTTGTTTTTGTCTTTTTCAAAAGCCCAGAACTCGAAACCGGAGCTTCCAGAAAAGACCCATTTTTTTGGGTTGATGTGGTTGAAAGCTCCCCCGAGCTGGGCCTAGTTACTGCAGAAACCAACTTGTTGGTGGGGGGGATTGTGTGTTTCACCAGGTTTTTCCCATGGTCGTTGATATGGCTGTGGTTGTCAAAGCCAATAGGATCCCATTTTGGGGGTTTTCGGTGCACTACCCATTGTGGTCTATTTTAGTGGGGATTGGGATGTTCACTGGGGGTACGGGATTTTGACCCATGGCCATATGATACCTGAACACCATAGGAGGGGGCTGGACAAAGGCCACAGGTCACAGATGTGAGCTATACACGGGCATGACCTTTATGGATTCTGCACAGGGCCCTTTCATGTATGGTGACAAAACATGTGATCGCCAGATGGCCTTGAACATCTGGGCTTCGGTCTGCCTGGTGATAGTCAAAAAATGGGTCTATCTTTTTGAGGACCCCTGTTTTGCTGATTGTACAGCGAAACCGAAAGGACAACCACCATGTTGGGGTCACCTGACAAAAGAACCCAAATGGGACCCGGCTTTGGGGAGCTGTCTTGCGGGGATGCGTTTTGTTTTCGCGGCTGTCCGGCCGATGTGTCTTTGGCCATGATGTGTTCAGGTGTCAGGGGGATGTCTTTGGGGGATGTTTTTGTGTTGGGGGGCTGTGGGTGTGCTGAAAGGGTGTCTTGGGGGGTCTTTGGGGACTGGGGGTTGTCTCTGGGGTTGTCCTGGGTGGGGTCTTTGGGCGGAGTCTTTGGGAATGCCGATGTCTTTGGAGCTGAGGCCGGTCGGAATGCCGCAGGAGACAAGGGGCCACTGAGCACAGCCTTTGTCATATGCCTTTGCCACCTTCACACTTGTTTGCCGAGCGGACGCCATGTGAATGCCGAGTAGCATTGGCCAGGAAGGATCACAAAAAAGTCTTTGCTGATTTGGGAGCGCCCCAAAGACTGCAGCAAGAAGCCAGATTCGATGCTCGTAGACCACATGACCACTCAAAGCTGAAGGCCCTTGACGTGTACTGGTCGCTCCGAGCCTCAACCGGATGACCAAGCCACTCTTCAATGGACAACTTGGGTAGGCGTCCTTTCCTTTTGCCCTTGGGCTCTAATTTCTCACGCAGGATCCCTGCAGAGGGTGCGCGCGAACCGCAGAAATCCTCAGTTTTTGCACATCGACCATGCCAATCCACGCAGCGGGCGCGCAAAGGCTCGACCGAGTCGAACAGGACTTCTCAGAGCTTCTATGGCTGCCTGTGAACATGGCTCCTGCCTGAGCTCACGGGTGACACGGGTGACGGGCTTTGAGCGGGGAGGTGGGCCATGGATTCTGCCCGCTTGATACGAAGAGTTCGTGTTCTTTCGGCGCCGTTTGTGTGTGTGTGTGTGTGTGTGTGGGTGCGTGCGTGCGTGCGTGCGTGCGTGCGTGCGTGCGTGCGTGCGTGCGTGCGTGGGTGGTGGGTGGGTGGGTGGGTGGGTGGGTGGGTGGGTGGGTGGGTGGGTGGGTGGGTGGGTGGGTGGGTGGGTGGGTGGGTGGGTGTGTGTGTGTGTGTTTTTGTTTTTTTCTTTCGCAAAGGAGAGCTTGCGTCCCAATGCGTTTTTCCTGGTTTGACGAAGTCATTCCCTACTATGGTCAACACCCAATTCGGGGTTGCTGGGCTTGACTTCCCCACCTAGATCCCCCAGTGCCCTTTCTCACCCTTTTGTGAGGGAGGGTTCCCCTGCCAAAATGGACACAACCGAAAAAAGTAAAATCGGGCACCTGTATTCTAACCTCTCCACTGGAGCAGGGCTCCTTAAAAGGTACATTTTGCCACCATTTGAGACATGTTGCTTTTTCAACACCAAAATAAAGGGGTTTCCCACCATTTACAAGTTGCAATGTTCAGGTGTTGTCATGTAAGGATTTTTGTGGAGGACCTCGCCCACGAGGCTCCACCCCAAGGCTTTCTTTTCGATCCTGACCGCTGAGGCAATGCACATGCCCACGGCGGCCCTGCAGTATCCCTTCATGGCGCTGGCGGTGATCTCAGTGGGCGAATAAACAAGAACTCCTCGCATTTTTCTTTGCTTAGGCTGAATTAATGTATACGTCACCAAAATTGAACCCCTTTATGTTGCGTGTATGGGTGACTTCGCCAGTTCTGGCTGAATTCTGGGCGAAATGTCGCTGGTCTTGGCTGTTTTAACAACTTTTTGTCGCACTCCCGGAGTTGTGTTTCGGACTTGATCCTCACTTTTTGTTGGTTTGGACCATTTTCGTAGTAAATAAACGAACAGGTTCATCCTGTTTTTGGGCAATACACCCAGAAAGTGAGTTGTTCATTGAGCACAGAGGCCAGTGGGAAGATAGCGAGCAGACTCGTTTAAATGAGGTCACAAGACCGTCTGTTGAGGGTTCTAGGCAAGTATTATGAGATTACACGACTTTGAATATGAGGGCCTTTGAATCAAACCTCGCAAAGTAGGTTCTTGGGAATCTGGGGAGAGAAATCCCGCTTTAACAAGTCTCATTGAAATACCTACCCTATGAACCATAGCACACCGCACCACCAGTTGAATTTCAGTTCGGTGCTAAAGAAGCCTTATGTTGTGTGCCTCCCAAACAAAACCTACAATTATACAATGAAATGCAATAGCTACAGTTGCAAAAGATTTGTCGACATAATAAGAAGGACATTTATTCTAGCTTCTCATTGTCGTAGTGGAACCAGGCTCAATCAGAGTTCCATCAAATGCAGCTTCCCGGCTTCTTAAACTGTGACTCGGTTTGAAGGGGACCCAGTGTTTTGGCCATTTGAAGGGGGGATCAGCTCTTCACTTTTTTGGTGTTCCCTGTTAAGACAGACTGAAGATTATAAAACAGCTCAACTTGAGAAGACATGGCGCGGATATCCGCCCTGAAAATTTCTCCACTTCTTGACCATCGGCTTTGGGTAGACTATGTCAAGACCACTCGTTGTACATATGACTCAGCAGCCACTGCCACTCTGCAAGGATTAGCTCTGCCCGAGGTGAGCATCTTGAACGTGGTGACAACACCAGCCGTGCTGTACTTATTGCTTTCGCAGATCATGATGATTAGCACCTTGGCTCATTCTCGGGCCCGTAGGTCCATTTGAGCGCCCACCACCGATTCCCGTTGGTTTCATCTTAGAGGGTGCTACGGTTTACACAGATTACGGGGGAAGAGTAAGCCCAGATGAGTGGACCTCATTTGCTCAAAGACGATGAAATCGGTCGCCAAGCGAAGCTGTGCTTTAGCTGAGGCATCAACTGGACGGTGAACGAGCTCCTTGGCCTTGAAGGGAGGCAATCCTGACATAGGACCGGGGCTTGTCTGGAGGCCTTGGGCTTGGTTTCCTTTGGGTTCCTTTTAAAGTTGTTGATTTCCTTTGGTTTTGTATGCTCCCATCCACGAGAATCGAATTGTGTGGGGGGTCAGGCTTTGGGCACTGATCCGAAGTTCGGGCGGGAGGGGAAGCCAACGAGATCCGGAGAACTCCCTAAAGCCGTTCCACGAGGTTCTTGTGGAGGGGAAAATGAAGAGACACAACCCTCACCCCGCCTGAGTTGCGAAGCTTGGGGGTGATCCAGGCTTGCCATCCTGTCATGTAAACGCAGCCAAAATGATGCCTCCTTGTTGCGGGCAGCAAGGCGGGTATGCGTGTATGCGGGTACACTGCGTGTGTGTCTTTGCGTCTTTGCGTCTTTGCGTCTGTGTGTCTGTGTGTCTGTGTGTCTGTGTGTCTGTGTGTCTGTGTGTCTGTGTGTCTGTGTGTCTGTGTGTCTGTGTGTGTGTGTCTGTGTCTGGCTGCAAGCAGGAAGCGGCAGAGAAGCAGTGACCTTCAGAACTCCAATCCCAGGCACATCAATATGGAGCGCTACAGCCATTTTTGGGTCTTCGATTCCTTCGGCAACAGGCGGGCGGAAGCAGGCAGTGCAAAGTAGCGGTTGAAACCAATGGATCGAGCCACCGGACATCAGCAATCTTCCGGCTGTCCATGAAAGAACATGTTCCGAACCCTCGAAAATTAGTTTGGCTTTTCTTGGGTTGGGGGGGCGGGGGGGAAATGCTAAACCGGGAAGCGCTTCACTGCTTGCGGAAGCCCTTGTTGAACCGGAGTGTTTTGAGTTTCTGCGAATTGTGTGTTTGTTCCATAGGTGTCCTTTTTAGGTTAGATCTATTTTTCCAAAAGGTTCTCTGTGGTTTGTGCCGTTCTTCGGAGACTGAGAGCTAAATGGTTCATTCGGTTGCTGCCTCGAGTCGGCCAGTTGCTGCTTGCTTGCAACGAGTCTGCGACAATCGCCATGGTCCAAAGGACCCCCTTGAACGGCAATGCAGACGGCCATTGTAAGGGTTAAGGGAACCATGACCATGGCCACCAATTTGGGAGGTTTGACCACGACGCGGCTTGAGCCCCTCGACACGACGCGACGCCACAACGCCAGGTCAGCCGCGAGCCCTTTCAACAAGGGCAGCACTTGGGCGAATTGGATGGACCGACGTTTGCGAGAGGGCAGATCTGGGTGTCAAGTTTTGGTGGAAGCCCCTTTGTTTTCAAAGCACCCAATCATGTTTTGGGTTCCGTGCCCGGAGATGGACCTTGAGTACACCTTGGTTCTGCGCACATGTGCTTGGGGTGTTGGGAATGCATTTGTTTTTGTCCCTCCCTAGAGCCGAGCTCATTTGTGGGATGGGTCAGTTCAAATCGTGGTCATTCCAACTCATTCCCCAGCGAAGGCTGGAAACCCACCAAAGCTTCGGACATTTACCAAACTGCATCTCCAAGCTGGCCCTCAGATCACCGGGGTTTCGCATCCGATTCCGGAAGCCAGTAGCCCTCTCAACGGCCTACCCAAATTCCCTCAACCCTGTATCTTGGCCGGGAGCTTTGAAAGAGTTCAATAATTAGGAAAATTGGATTGGCCAACCGTCAAAAGAACTTACACGAACGCCTTGGGTTGATATGCCAGCACCTCATCCCTCTACATGTTTCTTTTTGTTCCCCTCTATCCGAAATCAACTACTTTTGGCTTAAGCAATTTGATACCAACTTCTCTCTCTTTCCGAGACCTCAGCCCAAGCCACCACACCCTCGGCGCCACTTATGGAGGACTTCTGCGTGCACCGGCGCCGCAGAGAGCTGGGGCCCGGCTGCCCGGCGAAGATCCGCGACCTGGCGCTGGCGCTGCGCAAGGCGCGGTCCGGGGCCGCGGCGCGCGGCGCGCGGCGCGCGGCGCGCGCGGAGGGAAAACGGAGCCTCGCGGCCGATCGAGTTCCGGAAGCGGAGCTTGATCGTCACGTTGTTGGGGTTTGGTGGCCATTTTCGTGGTAAACAACGAGTTTGGGTACTTTTCCTGGCCAATCTACTCGGGAAGTGAGGAGCCCGGGGGGGGGGGGGGGAGGGCGAGGCTTTGACCCACATTGATGAAACCACGAAGCTCGCTATGTTGTGGACCCCTTCGTTTAAGAAGACCCTTTTGGATGGCAGTGCCCTTTAGCTAAATGTTTGGTTTCACGAGAGGAAAACAGGAACAAAACGCCAATCATCGACTCTCGTGTCAAGCTGTTAAGCCGCTGTTTTGAGGTTCGCCCCAAACCCTTTGCAAGGGTGGACAAGCTGAACTTGGTGGCAACAATGGCCCAAGGCAAACATCAAGCGATTCATGGTTAGATCAATGGGACATGAAAAGGAAAGCCACGCTTCTGATGCCCATTATTCTGACACCCAGAACCAGAATATTCCTCCGGACACGACAGTTTTTGGGGTTCCATGTTAAACGGGGGGGGAGGGGGGGCAGGTGTCCTTGTCTCCTAAACCCCAACGGTTGTGGGGGTGTTTGCTCATTTGGCGGGGGTTGGAAATGGGGGCATTGGGCCGACATCGGGGTGTTTCATAGCGTTCGGGGTAAAGAGTTGCTGTGAGAACGTTTTTGTTGAGAAGCGCGAAACGGAAAAGGAGCAGGACTGCAAACGACTTGGGCCACTGTTTACCCATGGTGGCTTTCCTGTGGCTTTCCTTTAAACCAGCCTGGAATGGGTACCCAAGAAAGCCAAAGGGTATAAAGCCCGCAAAAACGCATAGTCTTGAGAATTTCCAACGGATAATATTCCTATGCGAAATGCATCACCTCAGCATGATCATTCGAAAGGCCATGAAACGTTCCTACAAGGACAGCGACCGAGCACTGGGAGAACCGTAGTGACGATATCCAAATTAAACGATGGCAATAAGTACATGCCCAACCAGCAGCCTCCACGGGCTACTTGTTTCCATCTCTTGCGGGAAGGGAACCGACGCTTCGGATTTTGAGCATGGAGAAAAGACTGTTGAGTCCCACGTTGAAGATCCGCATCTAGTCCCTTGAGTGAGTGTAAATGCAAGGCATGTCGAAAGAGCATACCAGCAGTTCAGATCCACAGCATGCCCAACATGCCGGGGAAAACCACCCCACGCTAGGGCCGCTAGGGGGTACTTCGATCTGCCCAGGCGCATCTGCAAAGGACGCGAAGGGTTGGAAAGATACAAAACACACGTCAGGTGCAAAATTCAGACAGGAATTGGACCGCAGATTTTCGTCCTTTCTATTTCCCCAGGGCAAGCCATTTGGGTGTTACCCCCCGGTTTTTGAACCCAGAGGTTGTCATAGGCGCCCGCTTTGCCTCCGATTTGGCACATCCCAGGCAGGCGCCCAGTAGGCGCCCAGTAGGCGATGGCTCGGGGTGTCAGGGACTCCAAGCGTTGGAAAGACCCACGAAACCCACTGCAGACCAGAGGTGATCGAGGGACAGGTTGGTTGACCCCGTATGGATCAACCAACCTGTTTACTACAGGGGGGTGTTCTCCTCCAAAAGCGGTCTGATTCCAACCGCTAAACCCGGGGAGAAGCACCCCCCCGCTATGAAGAAACTGGGGTTGATTGATATGTCTAGATCGCCCAGCTAGGTGCCGTTTCTCACCCCTTTTTTGGGGGGCGGGTTCCCCTGCCAAAATAGACTACAGAAAAAAAGGGTACCCTTATTCTAACCTCTCTCCTGGAGGACCTAGAATATCTGGTCGACGTTAAGCAACAAGTTTGGACCTTCCATTTGTTTCAGACATGTTGTTTATGCTTCCCTGGCCTTTTGAGGCAATCTGTCACTGCAAACAAATGCATCCTTTTTCTTCCAGGCTTGGCAAATGGCTCAGAAAACGATTCTATGTTTCAGGGTAGACTAAATATGAGGACCTTTGTTTGGGGATCTTAGCCGGTGCTTGATGTGGCTTTTGCAAAGTCATGAACATGGCGCAAGTCCACCCTCGGATTTTGCAATGAACCACCTTGGCTGGGCCTTGCTTGGGTCTTCCCCCACCAAGCGGGGGTCTTTTACCAAAGAAAGGTGCTGATGTCCAAGGCTGGTTCCTAACATGCGCTCTCCATGGTCTTGCTAGCTGATGGCCGACAAACCCTTCCGGGTCCCAAGGTTGGTGCATGCACTGCAAGATGATCACTTGTCTCTGCCATCCGACAATGCTCCCACTTCAGCTAGGGGAGGGGCCAGTCATCATTAGTGGGGAGGGCACAATTGGTATGGGGAGTCATCCACTTCAGGTTGTTATAACCAAATTGCAAGGTACAATTAGTATGGGGAGCGGCAATTGGTATGGGGAGGGGCCAGTCATGAGTGGGGAGGGCACAATTGGCATGGGGAGTCATCAGAGGTGCGATCAATTGGTATGGGCAGGGGCCAAATTCCGATCCTTACGATGAGCTCGCCCCACTGACTCTTCGCGTTTGAAAGTCACGGAGCCGGAGGCGTTTCCGAGAGCATCGCTGCGATTGACTCGCTCGCGTTTCACCCACGAGCGCCTTAGACGGACGGCTTTGGCACATGGTCAAGGTTTGTGGTGTGAAGCAGTGATTCTATTTTCCAGCGGCCAAGGGAACCGCGCTGTAAAGACCAAAACGACATTTGCTGGTATTTAAGATCTTGTGAAGGCTGTTTCGTTCTCTCAATACGTTTTGTTTGCATGATGAAAGATAGCTTTGAACTGCTTTGCAGGCAATCAAGATTGCAGTGCTTGTGTCAAAGCCCACAGCCAAGCTACATTTCAGGAACAAAGAGTCCTGCAAATTGTTCGAATCCAAACCCCGGAAGATGCCGGTGCGCAGATAATGTCCCGAGGTTTTGCCTCCAGGCGATCATTTTGCCGAATTCAGAGTAGCACGCATGTTGCATGCAAAGGTTGCGGAGTAAGCCGCCGAGCCAAAAACTGCCGAGCTTGGCGACGTGCTTGGAAAGAATGATGGGTTGAACCAATGTGTGCTGCCGAAAACTACCAGGGAACGAAAAACATACCCGTGCCCGATGAAATTGGAGTCCCTACCACAGCTCCATGTTGGAAGCCCAATTTCTCGCCACCGACTTTGGGTTCCAAGTGCCTTTGAGGGTCCCCCCTCAAAGGAGGGCACTCTTTAGGGGCCGTGGCTGTCCTCGCTTGGGGTTCGACACTTTCTCCGAGCCAACAGTTGGGCTCTCAAAGTCAGAGACTCCCAAAAACAAAACCGGTGAGGTTCCTTCAGCTTGCCTTGTAAATTCATGTTTTTCGGGAGGTTCCCTCCCTTGTAAACGGTATCGTTTTTGGGAACATCGCCCTCCAAAGTCAGGGAACCCCAAGAAGGGTTCCACTCACAAGGTGTTCCGATGCCCGGAGCTCCGATGGACAGTCGAGGTCGCTGGATGCGTCGCCGGCGCTGGCGCTGGCGGGCGTGGTGCAGGTCTTCACTGGGAAGGACCTCAGCCGGCGGCTGAGTTGGGTGCCAGACGCTGGGAGAGGGCCATGTTGGGTGTGCCTTAAAATTGTTATGAATCCCTTTTTGGGGTGGTTTGCAAGGGAAGCGAAACAACATCACCATGTTTTTTTTTGGGGGGGGTCCCTGATTTTGAGACATCTATTTTTTAGGATAAATTGTTGCTCCCACTGCGGGAATATGTTGGAAATTGTTGTCAAATCGATTTTGTCTAAAAATGTGGGAACCCCAGCTGATGCCGTCTTCTGGGTTTCCTTTAAAGCAGCCCAACAGGGGACCTTTAAAGAATACACCCGCCAAATGTTGATTCGGGGGATCACATTTCGTTTTTGGGAACTGGGTTTGGATGTTGTTTGTTTCGGGAGGGTGTTTTTGGGCGGGGGTGGGTTTGAACGTCTTGGCATGCGTGTGTCCGGCATGGTGCCTGTTTCGGCGGGAGATGTTCGTTGAGAGTTGTGGGGGGGTCAGTGAGAGTAACATCCCGTTTTGGGGATGCTTTAGTTTTGGAGTGGGCAGTCATTCTTTGAGCGACATCAGAAGGCCGGGTATTGGCCGTGCCCACCCATGCGGTTCCTTTGACTTGTGGACTTTTAGCGTTATGACTCCACTAAGTGTTGGTAACTGAAATGAAGCCACTCTGGCAGCTAGTGATGCAAATGAGCAGCGTACCATCATCTGCTGAAGCAAGTGGGATGGTCACACTCACCAGTGTGGGGGGCGAGGGGTACTCAACAACCTCCAATGTCGCTGGGGCACACAATATTGACTGTGGCTCAAATGAGGTTTGCCTTTGGGCACGCCTTAGGAGTTTTCCCTGGCTCATTGCAGAAGAGTTGTCTCAAGGGCTCCCATCACTCAAGTGGTCCATGTGGAGCAGTGGACTATGACTCTAAAGAGTCCAACATTCCAGTGGTTCGGGGGACACAAGGTTGACGTTGACAGGGGGGTTCTCCTTCAAAGAACAGGAAAAAGGGGCATCACCGTTTGTTTTTGCGAGTAGCTTCCTTTGAAAGGGAAACTTTCTCCAAAGCAAAAAGGAATAAGAGGGCCGCACTTTATGTCTGGAGTTTCGACAACGTGTGCAACGTCGCAGATTAGTTCGACGAACCTTTAGCTTGCTGGTTCTCAGCAGGGAATACACCGTCCCTTGTGGATTGCTTTGAGGAATTGACAGGTTCATTCCCAAAACCTGTCTTGGCTTACCGAAAACCAGCGAGTTACAAGGGGGTTCTGAAAGCGACACGCGTTTTTTTGGCGAAAGGAAACCAAAGGAAACATACCATTTTAGGGGGTCCCTTCTACAGTAAGCTACCCAAACAAAGGTGGTGATGCCCCTTTGTCGTTTCTTGGTTGGAGGCAGACATACCCTTGTCAACATCAACCCGAAGACCGGGTGCCCGTTTGTTCCGCCCGAGGTGAGAAGCAGAACACCTGGGGCCCGGCCTACATGGACCGAAGCTTCGGCTCGCGTCTCGCCTCGCGAGCGGAAGATGAGACTTGCCAGCGGGTAACGAGCGGCGGATGACTTACATACTGTGGGTGGTTGCGAAATCCATTTCGCACCACCTAGGAAACCCCGGAAGGATGATTCCCCGGCAAATG